AGAGTCAATCACACTTTTTTTGCTTTCACAGGTTATGACCACTTCTCTTTTCTTAGAAAATACTCTTTCTAGAGTAATTCTAAAAGGATTTTTTTAACTGCCTAGTGTTTTGATCCTCTCTTCCTTTCATAGCTGGCTTGTGAAAAGAATTGTAAACATCATTCTCTTTCCCTGGAACTGGAAATATCTTTGTTAGTCTATGAAAAACATGAGTATTCTGAAACTTTCTGTATGATACTAGGTGATAATAATCGCCAAAGTGTTGGTTTATGTTCAGATTTAATTTAAATTTTAGAACTAATACTACTACAGATGACCGTTAGATTATTGATCATTTCAAATATTTTGGCCCAACCCATTAGATCCCAAAGTTCATTGCTTCCCAGAGAACTGATTTTTGACTATGGATGTCTAACCAGCCTTTAAAACACCCAACCAAAATCTGAACTGTTATAGTAGCTGGGTAAGCGATAAGGGGTAAGAAAAGTATCCAGTCATCCAACCACATTAACTGCTTTTTTTGCACAAGCTTCAGATGAAATACAGTCACTCAATAAAGTCCTTCTGTTTCTCTTTCCCTCCCTCCCTTTCTCTCTCCCCATTCGCCTAGAGAGGGGAACCCTAAACCCCCTGGAGCCCTGCCAGCAGCACCAAAAGAATCTCTTGACTATTTTCCCAGGGAATTCCTGCCTTAAATGTCAGCAGAGCACAACTCCCCAGCCAACGCAGAGTCCGCCTGGATCTGAATCAAGGAAAATGTGCCTGCTATACCAAATGGGAAAACCTGCATCCATGGGGCCTGGGGGCAGGATTTAGTGAAAACACTTAGAGGACCATTGGAAAGGTTTTCTCAGATTCACTTCACTGAAGAATGGGAGGCTAAGTCAAACGTTTTGGTTCCTTGCTGTTTTTTCATTGTCACTTTTATTTTATTCTTTTGGTAGTAAAGGGTATTTCTGGAAACTACTCTGAATTATAACAATAAGGCGACACCTCTTTGGGGAAGAAACAAAGCTCCATTATAGTCCTTTGTTATGGTGGTGGTGGTGGTCGTGGTTATCCCTGCTGTTTCTGTTGTTCTGTTTATTTGTTTGTTTTTAATGAACATACCGATATATACGTGCTCTGGGGAAAATTCATGATGCTGCGATTCGTGAAAAGCAAAATAAGATTTATGAGTTGCAATTGAATCTGCCCCTACCAGCCTGGAGACACTTCCCGTCTGGTAGTGAGGCACTGCTGGCACTTTTAGTGCTTTTAGCGCAATCTCTGAACACATGAAGGGATATTAAAGTTCTGAGGGCAAGGTGGGCGACAGTCCGCAAATCCCAAAGATACACATCAGCACCAAAGGGAAGCAGTCTGGTGTAAGTAGTTTAAAAATTCAGAAGTGAAGTGTGTCAATCAGCTCATTTTTGCTGAGTACTCCTGTAATTTTCATTTACTCTTTTTGCATTTTCCTCATGTTACTGACCTACAACTTCACAAGCCTATTCAACTAAAAACTCACAAGTTTGCCTGACATACACGGCTGATTTAAAATCAACATGCCATGCTACTATCCTTCCCCCAAAGACGATAGGTCTACACAGTAAGAAACTCGAGAGGATTTAATCAATAGATTGTTATTTCATTTTTAAGTGAATTAGGCTATTCTAAAGTCATCAATGGGGAAAAAAAATGTTTTTTTAGATTCCAAACCTCATTTGGCTCTAGACCCAGTCCAGTTCAAAACAGATCAACTTAGAAACTTACTTATATTTGCCAAGGCACCCCATATTTTCTTGGCCCCCACCACCACAAGCACATTACAGCTGCTTTCTTCCATCATCATATCCTGTGTGCATTACTACAGACAATTCTATCAAAAATTTCTGTCCCTAGTCCAAAGAAAAGCGAGGCAAGTAGCTGGTTATTATGTAGGGCTGAAAGTTTGGCAGGCGGATTGATAATACTATCTCAAATCTAAAAAGGATAACGAGTAATACTTAATGAGAAAAACTACCTCCGGTAGGTGAAGGGTTAATCCCTGGTCAATTTTCAGCCGCTCTGCTGAGAATACTAATAACTGTATGAGTTGGTGCCAATTAGGGTGGCCCTTCCCTTGATGGGAATAGCCATCCCTTAGGAACTGGACTGTCAACACATTCTACCAGGGCTGTGATCAGTCAGCTAGAAGAAAGAGAAAGGGGTCTGAGAAACTGTGGTAACCAAGTTTTGCTGGCACTTCGTAAAATGGTGACAGAAAGTACCAAGGCCATGGAGTGACTGCTAATGAGCCTAAGGCAATTTGCAAAGAGCGGACCCGAAAAAGGTCCCCTCAATGACCTGCAGCCCTAGGGAGCACCATGCTTTGTGGGTTCTCATTCATGAGGAAGAACCTAAACACTGTAACATTGTTCCCTGGGTTCATAGACCTCACAAACACCTCTTCCTCGATGTGCTTAGGGTCAGAGCAATTACATTGAACACATCTGCCTAGAAAGTCAGTTTTCACATTTTTTCAAAAACTTTTTCACCTCTTTTTAAAACCTCACTCTAAAATCTGAATGATAAACAGCTTTAAGAACCAACATGACATGATTTAAGTGTTCTTTGTGGATTCACATAAATTCCCCTTTCCCCTCTCATCAAAATTTATTCTGACTTCCAGGGAACATATTATAAGGCTGAAACCAATCATTGCTGTGCAACCACATTCTTAAGGATGTAAATTTAATCTGTGTTATCTGAGAATGCTTGAAACAGTAATAAAGTGTTCCTCTGGAATTCACACTCAAACCTTTAATTCTTCTTTCTAATGAGAGCTTTTCACCCATTCCCAAGTCTCAAGTGCCCAAATGAGACAAGAAAACAAAAAAAAAATTGTAAGCGTGATGTGAATGTCTAACAGCTTTTGTTCTCTCTTCTGTATGTCTTCCTCGCCACACTTCATTCTGAAAACTACCCTGGTCTGAAATGAGGTGTCAGGTGGAGAGGTGGGGAGGCCCCCATAGGAAGATGTGCATTATCACCATTCTAATTGTTGGGTTGAGCATTGACAGATGTTCAATGTATTATTAAAAAGGAATTAATTAACTGTTATAAAATAAAAGGGCCATAAATGTGCCAGTGACATAAACTAAGGATTATGATTAGTCCAATCCTAGGCACCTGAGGTCCATTTTAAGAAAAACGATTGAGATGGCGATACGGGCAGCTAATTAATTCTCACACCTGCCAGAGCCCACAGACTCCTCAGTCGGAGGAGCGCCTTCACACCCTGTGCAGTCGCCAAGGGCCCCACATTTAGAAGGACCCCACATTTTGTGTTAATGTGCTGCTGTTGCAAGCTTGAACTTCCTAATTCTTGAGCAAGGAATCCTGCATTCATTTTGCACTGGACCCCACAAATGAGGTAGTCAGTTTTGCCCCTAGCTTTCTAGATACGAAATTTACCTACAGTTCCCAATAATTTTGTCCCCACCTAACCGCTGTACTTTTTAAATTTGTTACTTCTGACCCAACAATGGTTATAACAGCCATGTGAGCATCCTAGGGTAGCCTTATTTCCTATTTTTTCCTTATTTCCTATTATCCAAATCAGTGCTGCACAGACTACAAATGAACCTGCCATTATCTGTGGTGCTTAAAATGCTGCTTCTCAGAACAAAAAAATTTCAAATAAAAGCTATCAGATATTTTGTCACTCAGAAATGAATGCACTGCAGCCACTCAATACATCTCAACTGCTGGATAACACAAATCCGTGTTCTCATCGTTGCCTAATTTCAACTACAACACAAAACCAAACAATACAAATTCTCAGCAATTCTCTGTGGTAGGAAGAACTCTGGTGAAGATTTGGGGAAATCCTCATTTTCAAAGATAGCCAGCTAAAGAAACATAATGTAAGCAAAGGTTTTGTGTTCCTGAAGTGCCTGTGTCTATAGTGATCAGGTAGCAAAAAGTTCTTTCAAGTTCAAATATAACTTAGCGATTGCCACATGGTGCAGAATCTTTCCACCCCTAGACTCCAAAAACCCAATCAGACAAGTGGCCGTAATCTGACTCCCAGCGCGCTGGGAGCTGCAGGCAGGCAATGAGCGCTGCACTCTGGCCAGGGAAGGCATGAGTGACAGACCCGCAGCAAGGCGGTGGGGGTAAGTCCTTCTTTGCCTTAAGGGAACAATGCTCAGGGCCAAAAAATGAAACTCTGACTCTTTTACTACAGATACTGGTGGCTTTTTCTGCAGAATCTAGAAGAAAACTATAACGCGGGTGGGAGGTTCTGTAGATCTGGGCACCGAGCATATTCATAGGAGAGGCACAGAGAAGGTAGAATAAGGATGCTTTGTAGCCAAATCCTCCATATATTTGAGACCTGTGACAGCACAGGAAAATGACCCTATGGAGGTAAATCTAGCTGCAGTATTTTTCATCAGAAAAACTACTCACTCAGGGGCTGAGCTGTCCAGAAGTAAATCAGGCTGAGTGTTCAGCTAGAAAGAAATGTGTCCTGTTCAGTACAATCCAGGCACATCAACAAACCCCCTTTGTTCCGGGGCAAAAGAAGCAAAACAAATGGTGTTGATCCATTTCCATCGAGTGTGAACATGTAAGGGAACATTGACGATAATAGCAGAAAGCTAAGAGAGCCGCTGGGGTGAGCATTTGTAAGGCCAGAGGTATGCATATGGTGCCTGGAAACTTTGGGGTTCACAGCGAACTAAGGTTGGTCACTCTGCCCTGGAATATGATCAGATTTTGGAGGTGCTCAAAAAAAAAAACCCTCAATGCTTTCTTAAAGAGTATATCTGTTTGGGGTTTCGTTCTTGTGGGTTTTTTTTTAATTTCTCTGGCTGATGAAAATTTTGAAGCTGAAAGAGCAATTGGGCTTCTTAAATGAGGTCTCTGGAGAGGTAGACAGATGCATGAGAAAATAAACAGGGAGCCAGAACTCACGGAACTGGGGACAGTGAGGGAAGAAGGGGTGTAGCATGGAGGCGGCCTTTTCGCAGGGCCCGCCTCTCCTGGTGATCTCCTGTGCTGCTGAAAAGAGACCTGTGCTTCCTGCCCAACCAGCTCCCTATTTCCCACTAAATCCAGCCACAGACGACCAGTACCTGTGATAGCACCTTGCCCCTTGCCATCCCGGCTACAGCCGTGGGCTGCTGGTGAGTTCAGAGGCCACCCTCATAACTTCTTTTTTCAATGTGGGAGTTCTTGGAGTTTCTTTTCCTTTGGGATATTTTTAATGTCTCTCCCAGGGCACCCTCCCTGCCCCATTCCAAGTGCTGTTTTAGTCTCTTTATTTTCTCTTCTTCTAGGGAACGTGATGTCATTGTTCTCCCAGCTGGGGTTTTTCCTGATTACATGATTCACTTAAGAGTTCATTGGGCAGCGGACACTGGGGGCAGAGCTGGTTGTTCCTCTTCCGGAGCCACCTGGGCTTGGGCAGAAAACGGGTTTCTCTTTCCAACTCGGAAGCAAAGCCCCGTATCAAACCAGAGGCTGATTGAGATCCTAAAGATCAAGGGAGAATTCCCCTAGCCCTTTTGGGCACAGCGTTTCCCACTGCCCATGCAGAACCCAGTCTCCTGGAGACAGTGAATGATGGAGGCGGAGGGGGGAATTTACTCTCAGTAATATGTCAAGGGGAAGGCTGCAATAACTCTAACCTGTTAAAATACTTGGCTTTCTTGCCTAACCCTTTTTTATTGTCCCCTGCGATTAGCATCTCTGCTCCATCTCTCCATACTCCTTCACTCTTGCTGCTCTTCACAGACCAAGGGGAAGGGCAAATGTCTTGAATAATGGGGTAAGTGGGCTAATTGCCCCCCTCCAAAGGAAATCCAAGTCATTTCTTTCCAGAATGAGAAGTGGGCATTCATATCCTCAAACGCCATCCGTTCTCAGCTCCAAAGATCTTCAGACAGCAAGAGGAAATTATAATAGATTAGAGGAAGAAAAGGTGTTCACTTTCAAAGGCTGCCTTTCTATTCCCCATCCTTCCTCACCTTCTTCCCTCCTTCGGGGCGCACACACACGAGCTCCCCCAAGCAGAGGCATGTGCTCTTTTAGGGCCAAGAAGAAGTAATAGAAGGCCATCAAGAAGACACTAGAGAAAAACAGCTTTCCATGGAGGTTTCTGCTGGGAGCACCACAGTGTTCCTTGCCACACCCCCTTTGCACACTTGCCTTCCTCAGGTCTGCCTCATTCACAGTCATCCGCACTTGGCTGCCCCCAAAAGGGCAGGCAGGGTGCCTGGGGCGCTAATTGCATATGCTGGCCTCCAGGATCCCTTTGGAAGTTTACCTGAGGGGTAACGTCAGGTGTTGAGAGAGGGGCAGGCACCAGGAGGGACTGTCCCCTAACACTGCAAAAGCACCGCGGAGGCCACGGTGCAGCTTTCCCAGGCTGCTGGGCCGACTGGGACACCAGCGGGCGGGAGAGCGGGGAGCGGGTCCCTGCTGATGGACCTCTGTTTGTCCACCTGGCCGCGATCCGCGAGCCTGGCACCAGCCCGAGACTGGCTACTCCCCCTCCCTTTGAGAGGACTCCAGCTCCCCCTGGGACCTGAGGGTGAGGCTTCCCAGCGCCGCGCGTTGGGACTGGAGTGGCGAAGTGTTCCTTTGACTCCTCCCTCTGGCTGGAGAGAGGAAGGGGTGTCCCCGTCCCAGCTCAGGCCCTACCTGATCCCACCGCCCCTGTCACCATGAGCTCCACTTCCCACAAGGAATTTACCTTCTGAAAAGACAGACTTCCAGCATTCCTGGCTTCCTAACAGGCCTCTCTTTGATCTAGAGTTTCTCCTGGGGGAGAGGGGAGGGGGAATCGGCGCTCAATTTTCAAAATGCCATTTTGAGCAATAAAATAAAAAACTGAGGAAGACCTCCCTGCTTTATTGCTTTATGTTCAAAATGAAAATGACATATAAAAAGGTACATTGAAACTTAAAAACTTGCTCTGAGAGAATTAACTGCAAGGTAAATGTATTTTATTCTTAATTCTGTAAGGAACTTACTTGATTTAGACATTTTTTGACAATTCAGATAAATTGGATCTTTAAATATTCAATCAAAGGAGACTAGAATAACAATCTATTGACTATTAATTAAGAGACAATTAATTAGATTTTTCCAGAAGCATTCTTTCTTGGTATGAAAATAACCTTTGGGGGGCCCTCCCCCACAGTAGGGCAAGATTGCAGACTTGGTGTCTTCACCTGAATTCATAAACCCTGGTTTGGCAGCTTCTGATGATGCTGTTTTGTTTGTTTATTTTCTTTTCAGTAAGTGTGGACCATTGTGTAGAAGAGAAAGCATCATGGCGGCTTTCAAAGGGGTATGGACTCAAGCTTTCTGGAAGGCAGTCACAGCGGAATTTCTGGCTATGCTTATTTTTGTTCTCCTCAGCCTGGGATCCACCATCAATTGGGGTGGAACTGAAAAGCCCTTACCGGTCGACATGGTTCTCATCTCCCTTTGCTTTGGACTCAGCATTGCGACTATGGTGCAGTGCTTCGGCCACATCAGTGGCGGCCACATCAACCCTGCTGTGACGGTGGCCATGGTGTGCACCAGGAAGATTAGCATCGCCAAGTCTGTCTTCTACATCGCAGCCCAGTGCCTGGGCGCCATCATCGGAGCAGGGATTCTCTACCTGGTCACACCTCCCAGTGTGGTGGGCGGCTTGGGAGTCACCACGGTAGCATCTTTAGCTCTTATTTTCAAACTAGGACTCCAGGTTTCTTGCAGACTGTACTCAAGGACACCTTCGTGCCCTGAGAGAGATATTCCTATAATTGCTAATTTATTCCCAGGGAATTTCTGATGATGCTTAACAAGGGTAAAAACTGATTCTGGCAACATTGAATATATCGATAGGAAATCATTGTTTGCTATTGAGTGACTTGAATATCACTAAGTCTGGATGGCACAAAAATTGTGTTGATTTCTCTCTCTCACTCTCTTTCTCTTTCTCTCTCTCTCGCTCTCTCTCTTCCCACCCCCCATCCAAGTGACTATACTGACTATATATTTAGCATAAGACATTTTTATTTTAATTATTTGTTGGTTCACTACCAGAAGAAACAATTTGTTTCTTGTCATGTTCATGAGATATTAAATGATCTACATTAAGGGTCACACTTAAAAAAGTCAATTGTCGTTGACCCTAGTTCAGTTCTTAGCTGATTAGGAATAACATTTGTTAGCTCAGCACCAGGGTTGATGAAAAAAAATCACACATGGTTTAAATTTTAACTGAAATACATATTAATTAATTTAAATGTAATTAATAGATTTAATCATTGCCTTATAAAATTACAAGACTCTCAAGAAACTCTTTTTTAAGTGCAGCAGTGGCACATTTTGCTTCCTTTGTAGAAAAGGACATTCAGCACAAATTCCCACTTTGTCCTTGTAAGAGTAATTAATTATCTATGATGGTCCAAAATGAGTGGAAATTTATTCTTTCTTTTTGCGGGGAGGGGAAGACAGTGTCTCTGTTGGGGGTGAGATAGAAAACTCAACCGTCAGTTTTTACAGGGATAAAATTTGCTTTTCACAATGGTATGTTATCATAGAAAGTGTGCTCTTGCTTCAACTCAAATGAAATATTCTTCTCTTTCTAGGTTCATGGAAATCTAACTGCTGGTCATGGTCTCCTGGTGGAGCTGATCATCACATTTCAGTTAGTGTTCACTATTTTTGCCAGCTGCGATTCCAAACGAACTGATGTCACTGGTTCAATAGCTTTAGCAATTGGATTTTCTGTTGCAATTGGACATTTATTTGCAGTAAGTTTCCAAGTTCATTTAAATAATTTATCCATTTCATTTATCCTCACCCCAGAGCTGGCCTGAAAATGTGTTTTACAGCTGTAGTTCTTTAATATCCAGCCGCGACTGTCCATTTTAGGTTATTATTTTACTAACTTTGTGATGAGAATGTTGATCTTGCTGCTAACAGTCTTGACAGTCCCTCAGTTCCTTGGTTAGTTACCATTGTAAATGGTAGCACATTACAATGAATGATATGTTAGTAGCCTGTTTCAGTATTGTCTGAAGCTGTTTTCTTTTTCCCTATAGATCAATTACACTGGTGCCAGCATGAACCCCGCCCGATCCTTTGGACCTGCAGTTATCATGGGAAATTGGGAAAACCATTGGGTGACTATCATGTTGAGGACAATTACCTATGGAGCTCTTTTTTTTTTTCTTCATTATTTTACTCACATTTTTCTTCCTTCCTCCCAACCTTGAAGCCCAACTTTATTACATCTTTCATAAAGACTAGGGAGAGACTAGCACAGATCTACTGCAAAACATTTCACCTTATATCTGTTCTGGCCTTCAGTAATAGTCTTTTTCTTTGTTTTTAAGCACCACTCTGGGCACTGTACTGACAGACTGCAACAGAATACTTTGTACAAGGAGGTTGCGTATGTGGAACAAGTTAAAATCAGGATAGTGTAGTGAATATGGTTTTTAAATAATTGAAAGTAAAGCCTTTCTGGCAATAACAGAAAATATGCTTGCAAAAAAGAAGATGAAGAAAAAAATGAAAGAAATGCTTAAGAGCACTGCCCATAGCAAAAAATATTTACCTTTTTTGTTTACAAAAGCAGAAACCCAACTAATAGTACGCAAGTTGGAATCATTTGAACTGCAGATAGTGAGGAACAAATGGGATAAATATTTATGCTAGTATCATCATAACCATAGTAGGGGGGAAATTAACTTTCAGAAAAGGCATACTTTTCAGCCTCATGCCTAACCTACTTATTGCTGTGGTGGCAATGCTTCTGGAGAGAAGAGGTACCTATTTTTAAATATCACAACTATCTGTATTTTAATTGTTTCTTACCAACAAAAAGGAATTTAAATTCCTTAAATAAATAATGTAGCTGTTTCTATGGCCATTCACACACTAACTTACAATAATCAATAAAAATATGAGACATATAAATGGGTTTAACTTTCATTGTCATTTGTATGTTGTGAATGTTATTTTACAACTTTTAATTTATGGATGCAACAGAATTGGTCATTTGTGTTTTAATCTCATGCATACAGTGATTACTGACCCAATCACACCCACATAACCATGGCGTACATTGCAAATGTAAAGAAATTGCACCACTGCCATACACATTCATTTCTAAGAAAAGTGTACTGAGTTTTTACAAGTAATCTACACCATTAAATAACAGCCTTTGAGTCAGTTTTCAAAAGCAAGATTTTGGACCTAGTAAGGCAAAGACTCAGTCAACAATACAATCCACAAAATTGGTCATTTGCCACTGATATTTCCAAAGTTATGTCTCAAAAGATTTGCCACATTAACTGGAATGGAAAGTTTTAATTGGCAGTATATAGATCTTATGATAAAAGTATAACTTTTAGTTCAATTTATTAAATTCAAACTGTTTTTATAACTAAAATTTAGAAAAAGGACAATTTTAAATTTAATTTATGAGGACTTTAAAATGTAAATGAAAATATTTTTTATTAATTACTTGTTAGTTGTGGTAAACTAGTATAATTTAAAGACTGAGAAAATTGTTAGCTTGTTGATTGAATCAATGTTTTCCCCTTCTTGTTATTTTATAACAAAGTTAATCCTACTGAAAATAAATGTCCACTTTGCAGCAATGATATGTGAAATTTAGAACTAAGTTAAAGTTTATTTGCAGATAGATAGACAGATAGACTAGAAATAACACCAAAATATTAATGACATTATTTTAGTTTTCTTCTTTATACTTTTCTGTGTTTTCTACATTTTTAGCAATAAAAATTATTTACCTTTATAAATTTTAAAAGTTATTTTAAAGTACATTATGACTTTGTTTTGGATAGCAACTTGAAATTGAGAGTTGTTTATTTTTGAGAGCATGCATCTAGATGTCTTGTTCATGGGTGTTCTGAGAAAGTGTCATGATTACTTAGCAGTCTCTAGTCTCCCTTGTGGGATTTTCATCTCATGGAATAGAAGACATCTAAGGAGATCTTACCAAAGGAACAAAGAGTAAAGACATTCAGAGGAGGGCTCCTCTGAAAGGGCATGGAGAAGGTAAACTCTCACGTGGTTTCTTTCATGTTCAAGATAAGGAACTTGGTTCTTGGAGCCATTCTACCAATGGTTTTTCTGTTAAGCTATGTGTTCAGCTTCAGCTTAAAGTTTGAGTTTCCTTTAGATTTGCACTGAGGATGCTAAGTGATATTCATTACCAGAAAGTATGTTAAGCAGAAGCATTCACCACATTTTTTTTTCAAATAAGAGAAGTGTAGCATAGTAGAAAACAGTATATATAGTTCAAAACAAAGGTTTGAACACAGGCAGACCTGAAATCCCGGCTTGACCGCTTGCTAAGCATAAAATATTAAGCAAGCTTCTTACCATTTCAGAATTCCAGTTTTCTTACCTATAAAATGAAGATAATAATAATATCTACCTCAAAGGTTATTGTTAAAATTAAATGGATTAATATAAGAAAAAGGCTAAGCACAGCTGGCTCGGAAACAGTGCTCAAGAACAAGGTTTTTGTTGCTCAAATGAATCTGTTGAATGAAAGTCTAATATTGTACAGCATACCTGTGCTCTAAAGCAAATGCTGAAGTTTATCCCAAACTCAAAACTTAATTTATTATAGACACATAAATTATAGGATAAAAAGCTTCCATGTATTGAATTAAAAATCCTATGGAATTGCTAACCCTCAACTAACCATCATCCATAAACTCAGTACAGGGGTTTTCACCAGGTCACCATCATAAGAACCATGGAGATGAAAGCACTCTGCAAGAAGAATAATGAGCAAGCATGAGATTTTCACTAAATCACCAAATTTTAGAGAGGAAAAGCATGTAACACAAATGAAAATGACTTAAGCCAGCCTGGTCACATACGTCTTTAACTTGTCTAGGAAACATGGGATGGAGCAGGTTACTATGAAATTGGAACTAGTAAGGATTTTACAAGTATTAATTTAATCCTGACAGCCCATGAGGTATGTATTATTATAATCCCCATTTTGCAGATGAGGAAATTAAGGTTTAAGAAGTAAGTAACTGATGCAAACACTCACATAATTGCTAAGTGTGGAGCTAGGATTCTATTTATCATGCTGTACTGCATCACTAAAGCTCCAACTGACAAAATCTGTACTATGATTGTAATTATGCAGAATGCCAATGTAAAATGTCAATATTAAGAAAGTAGGATAAGTATTCTTCAGAAACTCTTATTTTTTCTATTTTAGTTAAAGGGTTTTTAGTGTCTGCTTAATTTGCAATGCCCACAAAGAAGAGCTATCTTTACTTGAAGGATTATCAGAAAATGGGGAACAAGTAATTAATAAAAGCAGGAAAAGAGAAAACAGTCTTTTCTTGTGCTCTGTTCAAATGTTATTTAGCAATATATGAATCTCTGATATGGATTTGATATATTGTCTTATATTCTTTCCAATTCTCCTCTTTTTTTATACATGACCCATACATGACCCTCTCTTAATTTAAACCAGCTAAATTTTATAATCATAAGTTGTTCAAAGGAATAGTTGTTCTCTACTTAAACTCTGTAACTCTTCCATCTTTCCCCCAGATATATTGGGTTGGACCAATAATAGGAGCTGTCCTGGCCGGTGGACTTTATGAGTATGTCTTCTGTCCAGATGTTGAACTCAAACGCCGTTTTAAAGAAGCCTTCAGCAAAGCTGCCCAGCAAACAAAAGGGAGCTACATGGAAGTGGAGGACAACAGAAGTCAGGTAGAGACCGACGACTTGATTCTAAAACCTGGAGTGGTGCACGTGATTGACATTGACCGAGGTGAGGAGAAGAAGGGGAAAGACCCATCTGGAGAGGTGTTGTCTTCAGTATGACTAGAAGATAGCACTGAAAGCAGACAAGAATCCTTAGAACTGTCCTCAGATTTCCTTCCACCCATTAAGGAAACAGATTTGTTATAAATTAGACATGTGCAGGTTTGTTGTTTCATGTCATATTACTCAGCCTAGATAATAAATATTTCATTACTTACCAAGGAGGAATGAAAGAAACCTATCATGAATTCAAAATCTAAACAAGAAATCTTTTTAAAGTCCCCCCAAAGCAAATATGTATCTAGTTAATCTAGTTGCCACTCATTAATAATCAATTTAAAATGTGTATCAAAATCTGGATAAGCCTTGCCTGACAAAAAAATATAGACAAACCTATCAGCTTATTCCTCCTCTACCATGAAATTGGTAACACTAATCCTTGTCTGAGTATTTATTACATTAAATCAGGTTTATCAATGGCAGAGTACAGTATGTCACAGAGTCATGCACGTTCAAGAGGGGAAATATAACAAGCTCTTTTATGGGCAATCCCTTATTTATAAACTACCTTGGCAAAAGAATATTAAGGGTCATTGTTAATGAATTCTTTCCACTTATATTTCAAATGCCCAACTTTTAACCTGAACTCCAATTCATAATATTCCTTCCTCCTTTTCAATACTCAAAGTAATCTGGAACTAAAGCCTAGAAATTTTCAGAATGTCCAAAAAGCCTGTATATTTATTAGTTCCACCTAATAAGACATCCAAATAATAAGGGACACCTATTGAGATTCAGGTCAAATAGGTTCACAAGGTCTTATGGGGGGTGGGGGGGTGGAAATTACCATCATACAAAAATCATAAGGAAAAAGGAAATCTGAATTCTGGCATAAAATAGTTGATCTGTTTTCAGTGCACATCCTCGAATACACTACAGGAGATTAACAATCTAAGCTTTTAACCACTTCATCACTTTGCTTTTTTTTTTTTTTTTTTTAGCTGAGCCATCCTGCCATCTGTTGGCAGTTTAGCGGTAGCTCAGCTCGGGCCGTGAATCGAACCGCTGTTTCTCAGTGGCTCAATTGAGCCACTCGGCCGGCTCTCACTTTGCTTATTTTTTAAAATTTAATGGAAAACTGGGGATTTTCTTTGTTTGTAAGTTTGGTTATCTACATTTAAACATTAGCTGAGATGTATTTTTGATAACAAGAATATAACTATTTAGATGAGTTCTGACCTTTTTGTTGATTAATAAGCTCTGTTCATCCTAGAAGGTGTAAACTGGTCCTGCCCAGACCCAATCTCTGACTCTCTCTCATTTCTCATGAAATTAGATGATTATCTTCACTGCATGTGATGATATTTTAATGAATTAAAATGGATGAAAGACAAGGAATGACCTGGTTGCAAAATAAAAGGGTTGAGGGCATCAAAACATTCTGTATTCAAAGCTAACTAGATAACCAATCTTTCATTTGTAGAATATTGTACATAACCCAACACATTTTTTAAATATTTTCATTACTAACTCATTTATTTATCAAAATCGTGTGTTCTTTCCTGCACTGTTTTGCCTTATGTCAGTAGAATGGCCTCTGGAAACCCCAGTTTCTATCATCTTAGCTTACTAGTCTAGCCTTTATCTTAGGTAAAGAGCTACAAATGTCCATTTCACCTAGCAAAAGCTAACAGTAAAGCAAAAACCTATCACTGAAAAGAGTGGCTTGTAAATAGCTGATAATCAAGGGCTTTCTTCTCTCACGCACAGTTCCACCTGTGCACCACTTTTAAGTGTTAATGGCACTTGTGTGTCTGTGGCAGTGAGATAATGGACCACTATTAAATCTGATTCTCTTCGGTGCTAGAAAAGTGATATTCGAGGTTCCCAGAGAGTCATCACACCAATGTTGCTCCTGGGAGTGTCACTGGTATGTTTTTAACACAGGTACCGAAATCCTAGGCCCCTTTCTCAAGGGTGTAGCCAACCACAGCCTCCGCCAGTGATGCACGTTGCTTCCTGATTGAGGCAGTATCTGTAGAAACTAGGATGCTATTCTAAGGATGGTTTATGCCCATCTTTTCAAACATTTGCCCAATATACCACTAAAGACTAACCACTGGCGGTGGTTAAAAGATCAGCTCAAAAGATAATGCCACCACCAGCAAACATATCAGTTCGAAAATAAGTTAGGTTAACAAGGAAAAGTTAAGGGGATTTTCCCAATATGCTTACAACTGACTGGCTCATAATCATTTTTATTTGGTCATATGTTTTACTTCTTATAAATCACTTTTCCACTCACTTCCAGTTACAGCATTCAATATAAGTCAATGCTAAAGGGAAAAAAAATGCATAATGATGTTTTCATACTTTGTTTTCCAGCAGCTAACAGAGTGCATGGCACATAGTAGGTACTGAAAACAAGAGTTAGTTAATAAAAAACATATACATTTCATTTGGGATTTGAAAATATGAATAATTTTCTTTTAGTCTTTATTTTGCTCAATGTTTAATAAAAGCATGATTTCAAAGACTACTAAGGGGAGGCACTATAAATGTAAAAACCATAAAATATATTTTTGCATTCTACTATTTTAGAGGCATGCAGTGAATGAAAGCTTTATCACTTCTTTTTCCTGCATATGAGACAACATATTTTGTATTTCACTCAAGGCTCTGCCAGTTAAAAGTAATGAAATTGTACCTTTCTAATGACATCTATGCAGCAGGGGTCTATTGCTTTGTGGATGGCACCAAATTATCCAAGTGTATTAGGAGACTAGGGCTTTTTCCTTTAATCCCTTCTTATTAATGAAGTGCCTCGTGCTGCTCCCAGGAGAGTGCCACTGACAGATATACAGAAAAGAGATCAGAGAGGAAACACGGGAACGACATAAATGAATTATACCCAGCCAGGAAACGATGCCAACCATCTCTTCCCTAAGGAAAAGTACAACAAGCACCCCAAAATTATAAGGTCTCTACCTTGAAAATGTATATAGTTTGTCAAAAGAGTTCAAAAGGCTCTCATTTTTTAAGTTTTCAGAGATTTTTAAAATAATTTGAGGCCCACAATTTGAATGCATGTTTTCACTGTTGAAGATGGCATTTTCTTCAGGGTCCTAAACTTTTACCCAGGAAGCAACTATTTTCTGGCACCTAAGGAGTTGCTGAAATTTAAGATTCCTACACTTTGTTTCTGCCATTTAACACTTTTTATAAATCCTTACACTTTCTATTGTCTGACCTTTTTCCTAATGCAGTTGATAGGTGCTAGCTAGAGCTGCCCTTCAGTCTTGAAAATTTTACAAGAAGATCAAAAATATTTGGAAAACACAGATGAAGGAATTAAGCTATCTGATTAATTATTAGAGACCTGATTTCAAATATTACAGAATATTCTTCTTAGGCCATGAAACCAGACTACTCACTTACTGGTTTAAACTCCAAAATGAGCAGGAAAATCCCAAAATAGAATAGCAAATGCAAATGCTAAAATTAATGCTGACAAGGCCCTTTGCTGCAACATGTTGACACGATCCCCACATGTTGTGCACACTTGACAGAGAAATTGCCTTTGTGATAACTGAAGATTACATTGGAAGCTCAATAAACCTCCTCACTAAACAGTATAAAGCCAATATAAATTATCATAAGCACAATAGAATATGCAAATTCAGAATATTTTATACTTGACAGTAATTTTGTCTTTCATAATATGTTTCTGGCACCAAAATTATTAGAAAGATGTAGTTATTATCTGGAAAGTATAACAAAACTCACATTCTTTACCACAAATTTTGTGTGTTTCTATAGGTATTGTAGTACTTTACAGATCACCCCAAAACAGCAATAACTAGAAACCCATAATTTTTTGAAATACATGGAAGACATTTAATTCAGAGCTCAAAAACTGTGGATCCTCACTTTCACAATGGACTATAGCTTATAAAATACATATTGAATGCATGTTATACAGCATGTACAATGTACATTAAATTTAAGAGCATTTATAATGTTACCCATGCATGTTAAAAATCCAGGAGCTAAAAAATACACCTAATTTATATAACCCATTGGAATGTATTTCTTAATTCTCTTCAGGATTAACTAAATAAACAGGCAATGTATAAAAATATATAAACAATTGTTTATCACTTTTATGACCCAAATCACAATGAAATTGTAATTCATGATAAACTTGTGAGAATAAACTGAACATATGGTTAAATTCACAATTATTCATTAACTGAAACACTCTTCCAACATTAGAGCTAATGTTAAGGAGATTTAAACTGTAATGTCTAATATTTGGAATAATCTATTTAAAGTATTAGCATTGATTTCCATGAATTAGGTTGTATCTCATAATACTAAGCTTATGCAAATAAACTTTTTAATGTTTTAAAGGGTAAGCATTGTGTTTGATGATGTCTGAAAATCCATTCATAGTTTTTGCAAGTTACATCTTAGGAGCATCCTTTGGACTGACCAGAAGTTTCAGATATGTGAGTACAGTCAACACCAAATGAAATCTTGGTGGAATCCATATAACAAAATGCATTTTTTTGAGAGCCTGCAGAAAGAGTATACACTGAGGTGGGCCCTGATACAGACAGTGAAAATGGGGTTTTCATGGGCTTAATTTTAAATGTCCACATCTATGGAAAATAAGCTATTGAATATCAGCAATGATTACAGTGAATCTAAAAGAGAAAACCTAAACAACTGTGACTCAAATGAGGCTGGTATTGCCAAATACATGATCTATCCTCAGGGCATTTGGCAGATTCTGCCTGCCTAGGCAGATGCATAAAATAGGTACAATAGGTACTAGTTTATGCCCTTTGGTTCTTGGTTTGAGGGGCTCCCCAATTTGGGGAGATTATAGACTCTGAGGGAAGGATTGAGGACAATCATTTATATAGTGTACAGCCCATCAGATGAGTAGTGAACGATGCCTTAGGAGCCAGGTGGATATGAACCTCTCTTACAGCATTTGTTACATTGTAGTGAAATCATTTGTGTAGACCTCTCTTCCCTACTAGGTTCTAAACTCCTTAAGGGCCAAGACTTTGTTGTATTTATTCTGTAACCCCTGCCCCCACCCCACCCACCTCCACTAGCATGGAAAAGTAAGCTTGATATTTCACTCAGTAAATGCTTGTTGCGGGGCCGGCTGAGTGGCTCATTGGTTAAGAGTTGGCTTGGGAGCGCAAGCCCTGAGCAGCAGGGCCGTTGGTTCAGATCCCACATGGGCCAGTGATGTTGTGCCCTCTATAGCTAAGATGATGAACAACACCTCGACCTGGAGCTGGGCTGCTGTGAGTCGCCAGTGACAGCATAGGCTGCAGTGGGCTGCCATGAGCTGCCGTGAGCTGCCGTGAGTGGCCGGCAGCCAGCGTGAGCAGCCGGCAGCTGGTGTTAGCTGCTGTGAGCTGCCCGTCCAATGGCCAGCGACCCATCTGCCTCAGCCGGAAAGAGCACAATGATCACAACACCAACATGGGCCAGTGAAGCGACATCCTCCACAACTAGGCTGAAGCATAAAAGGACAGCAACTTGTCTGTTCCCCTTCCCCCATTCCCCAACACTGTTCCCTCCCCCAATTCCTAATAAAAATATTTTTTAAATAAAAATAAATAAATAAATAAATGCTTGTTGCATTAATGAATAAAGAACTTAAGGAATATCTTACAATAAGTAGGAAATGCCACAAAAACACTATACCTCAGTCAATCTAGTTGGGTTTTGCTGTTATATAGGTGTGTGCTAAATATTTGAATTCTTGTAGTTCCAGTCAGGAGGCTGAAATTAGCTTAAACACTAAAGAAAAAGAAAAGGAAAAATGCACAGAAAGAATGAAACACTAATTGGATTTCTAAAATGTATACCTAATGTGTAGGCAACAAGACATGTTTTCATTGCTATATTTATACAATGGCCAGATGTTAGATGAAATTTAGCTCAATGAGTATTTCAGCAAAAAA